AAAGCTGAGGATGCAACTTGGTCATTGCATCCTATGATGTTCGCCTTCTCAGCCTTGAACCGTCTGAGGTAGTCTCGAAGAGACTCCTCTGGTTTCTTGTGCAAGTTGAACAGGTGGTCTGCATGCTTTCTGACCGTCCTATAAGAGGTGTACTCCTTTGTGAAGATGAGGGCAAACTCCTTGAAGTTGCTTATCGACGTGGGCGATAAAGTGGGGAACCAGTCTTAAGCTGCTCCTCGTAGAGTCATCGTGAACACTTTGCACATTAGGGCGTCGTCAGCCTTGTACAAGATCATGGCACTCTTAAAGTGCCTCAAATGGCTCTTAGGGTCGGAGTCTCCCTTGAACGGAGTGATGGATGGGGTTGTGAACCGCTTCGGCGGTGCAGCTCGTTCCACCTCATCTGTAAAGGGTGAGCAGTCGACTCGATCAATTTCCCTGTGCAGGGCCTCATCCGTGCTTCCTTTAATTTGGAGACTTTGGAGTCGGTCATTCACTAACTTCTCGACATCTTCTGCCCGCAGGGCTAGTGGTTCGGGTCGATGTCTTCAGTGTCTCGAGCGCCGCTGGTTAACTTCCTCCTCGGTTCCCAAGGGTCGATCCCCTTGGTTGTTCTGCCCATGGGGCAGATTAGGAGATTGAGCTGTTGAGGAGTCCTTTACGGCTTGCTGCCGTGTGTGGGTCCTCGAGCGGGCTGGTGAGCGTCGATCATTGCGCTTGTCATGCGATTGCTCACGCACTCGAGCTCCTTGTGAGCCCAGCCTGGATTGGTTACTTCCTTGTGGGGACATTGGACTGTGGGCCCAAGCGAGCATGGACATTGGACTGTGGGCCCAGCCTTTCGCGTACATTGGTCCTTGGACCTAACCTCGAACGGATCGTCGACCGGCTCAGAGTGCGACTTGCAGATGTCTGCATCTCGTCAGCACGATCTCGTTTTCTCCCCTGCCCGTTTGCCCTTGCCTAACCAGCTTGGGACCTCTCGAACTGCTCGCTGACATGCTCGTGTGTCCTCCTCTCCTCAGGACTGTGGGCCCAGCCTTTCGCGTACATTGGTCCTTGGACCTAACCTCGAACGGATCGTCGACCGGCTCAGAGTGCGACTTGCAGATGTCTGCATCTCGTCAGCACGATCTCGTTTTCTCCCCTGCCCGTTTGCCCTTGCCTAACCAGCTTGGGACCTCTCGAACTGCTCGCTGACATGCTCGTGCGTCCTCCTCTCCTCGTCACGGGATCCAAGGTTAGGGCCTTGGTTCAAGTTGATTTGCCTGAGTAGCTGGCCAATCAGGTTGTTCTGATCGTCGACTCTTTGTGTAAGTTGATCAACCCGTGAGTTAAGGTCCACCTGACCAGATGAGTGCATCGGGCCCAATGGCATATGGGCTAGGGCTCCATTAGACGCGTACACAGGTGCATACGTCAAGTGTGGTGGCAGAGGAGGGAGAGGATGGATCTGCTCCAAGACAGGGGAGGCGTCAAAGTAGCCGTAGGGCTGTGGAGCAAGTCTGGCAGTTGAGTGGTGTGGCTGCTGCTGTGTTCCGATAGTAGGAGGGCGCGGCAGAGCAGCTCCAGCCGCTGGCGCTTGCAGCTGCAAGGCTATGCAGGTCACAGGACCACGTGGTGGCTGTTCTGCAATTCCGACAGTTGGAGGTGGCTGCGAAGCGCTTGGGGGTGGACGCAAGGCGTTGGCAGCCCCAATTCCGTGAGGTTGCAGAGCGGCTTCCACCACGAAACCATGAGACGGGCCCGTCGTGGTGGTGTTACTCTTCGAACGTCTTGTATCGACCATGGTTGATTGGAAAAAGTTGTGGAAAATGAATTTGGAGCACGCTTTGATTATAATTTCGCGCTCTCAATGAAAGCACCAATTTCTGGGAGCAAATTTCCTCCCACGAGAATATTCGCCTAAAGATTCCTTCGTCTTCTTCACACCTCTCTCTCCCTGCAAAACAGATCGGAGTAAAAGGACCACACCCGGGGGGGTGTTGGCCAAAGGCCCTCCAATGCCTAAGTTAGGATGGGTGTTTCAAGGAAAACCGGGTGGCCGGAGCCGTGTGTGGAGGTCGGAGCTTTGTGTGAGAGAGAGAGAGAAAGAAGATGGTGGCTAGGGTTTGTGAAGGGTAATTTCTGCAGAGTTTCAGTATGAATTTAGACGTACCTGAACCCTTGTGTGTAGCTAGGTATTTATAGGAGCCTCGGAGGCTAGGGTTTCAGAGGAATAATTCCGTAGATGGAAAGGAATTATTCCTCCCTGATTAGGCGAGATTTGATTAATTAGGGATTTGATTTATTTGATTTAAATCAAATCCCTAATTGGGGTAGGAATCAAATCAATCTCCATTTTAATTAGGTAATTGCCAATTTAATTGGGTAACTCCCAATTAAATTGAGTAACTCCCAATTAGGGCAAATAATCCCCAAATGGAAGGAATTATTTGACCTAGGGTGATTTAATTCGATTCCCACAATGCTGCCGGAAAAATCCTGCCATAAAATCTTATATGCTTTGTAAGTTTTGTGATGTTGCAGGGCACACTGAATCTCATCGTCAGAAGAAGAACATGTATTCTTCTTCGAGTACTGCTTCTACTAGTTCCTTTGCTGCTATGACTACCAACACATTGGCTACACCATTGCTGACTTCAGAACAATATAGTCAGCTTATTGCCTTGTTACCCTATGGTAAAAATAATTCAGTAGCCAATCTGGCAAGTAACCCAT